CCACCCCGGCGGGGGCAGCCCGGCCGCAGCCTACCAGGCCGCCCCTCCTCCTCCTCCGCACCCTCCGCCTCCGCCGCCGCCTCCCCCCTGTGGCGGGATTGCCTGTCACGGGGAGCCCGCGAAGTTTTACGGATACGATAACTTACAGAGACAGCCGATTTTTACGACCCAGCAAGAGGCCGAGCTGGTACAATATCCTGACTGTAAATCGTCCAGTGGTAATATTGGCGAGGACCCAGACCACTTAAATCAGAGCTCGTCTCCTTCTCAAATGTTTCCCTGGATGAGACCACAAGGTTGGGATGCTTTTTTTTTTTTTTTTAAACTGGGGAGAGGGGACAAATCTACTTTCATCTCACGTTCTAGCTTTAAAACTCGCTTTCCTCTCCCTCTCCTTTGGTAGCTCTTACTCATAAAGTAATACAGACTTTTCCCTTTAAAGTAGAAACCACGTAAAGATGATGGGGACCCCGTGATTGTGAGGACCTTCTCTCTGCCCCTCTTGCCTGCAAATCCTACATATCCAAGAGCTAAAGAGAATTATGTATAGCCCGGCCCTTAGACCCGTTCCAGAAACCGCCAGCGACCCGCAGAGGCACCATTCCCGTTTTTAAACAGTTATTTTCCTCTTTTTTTGTTGTTGTAATCAGCAGCTCCTGGTAGACGAAGAGGAAGACAAACCTACAGTCGTTTCCAAACCTTAGAGCTGGAAAAGGAATTCCTTTTTAACCCTTATCTGACCAGGAAGAGAAGAATCGAGGTTTCCCACGCCTTAGCTCTCACGGAGAGACAGGTAAAAATCTGGTTCCAGAACAGGAGAATGAAATGGAAAAAGGAGAACAACAAAGACAAATTCCCGGTTTCCCGACAGGAGGTGAAAGATGGGGAAACTAAAAAGGAAGCCCAAGAGCTGGAGGAAGACAGAGCCGAAGGCCCGACAAATTAACTTCTACCTTTAAAATTTTACCACAGACTGTTAAAACTAATGATCAACATATGCGGGTGGACACCACCTATTTTCTTTGTTGGAAAGGACTTTACCTTATTTCAAGCTACCTTCATGTCACTGCTCTTGAGGTTTCTTCGCTTTGAGAGGGATTTGGGTGTTTAAAAAAGTTTCTAGCATCTCATAGAAGCAGCGCTTTGAGCTGACCTATGTAAGGGTAATTTGATACTGATCTTGTAGCTATATTTTGATAATGATAATTTTTAATGTCTGAACTGGTGATTTGTCTCAACAACGTAAACTTCCTAATGATTAGCACTAAATAATTGAATATAAAAATGCTTTATTAATCAGACAAGTGCACTTGAACATTTTAAATCTTTTCTTTATGGTGAGTAAATTAAAAGAAGTTTATTAATTTTTTTTAAAAATTATGCCTGCAGAATATTTACTTTATATTATTTGATCAAAATGTATTATTTATGTTTTTTCTTTCTGCTTTTATAATGAATGGTTCAGGTGCCTTTTGTTTACTGCTAAAATGTTTCTTTGAGTATTTTGTTGATGTAATATCTCGGGGAAAAGTCTGGGCCAAATATTTGAAAAGCACATGTTATCTAAAAAGTATAATGTGTAGTCCGCGTTCTGCGGCTTCCTGTAACAACTTCGGGAAGGTTTCTGCGGGCCAGTGACAGAAGTTTCAGCACAATGTCAAAGTTAAAGTTAACATTAATAATTTTTCTGTAGTCTATACAAATTATTCCATTTAATCATCTAGAGTGAATGAATACTTGAAAAGCCAGTTACAACATTTTCACTCATTAACTTTTCACTCTAGCTAATCGCCTTGTGGGAAATCCTCTCATTTCTCAACCTACTTTCGTTTTGAAACCACACTTGGTATTCCCTAAAATCGCTAGGTTTCTATGCTGTGGCCGCTGCTGTGATTCCAATTTTTTTAGTAGGTGCCATATTTATTTGTATTCCCTTCACTCTGCACTCCCATTTTGAGCCAACTTGCTGTGCGTGTCTCAGATGTCGGTTGGTACGTCCTCTGCTGTTCTCTAGGATGGCCTCACCAATTTGAAACAAGCCCAGAGAGCAAATGCAGAAAACAATGAGTGTAAACAACCGCTGCAGAATATAGCTAGCTCCTTAATAAAGAAATGAATCTTTTTCTAAAGCTGGTGTCTTTGAGCGGCCGCAAAGAACTGTTCTCCCGAGTCAGTATCAAAGGCCTGAGCTTATACCAAAGCAACTTTCCACTGAAGCTTCTATTTGATTTAAAAAAATGGGGTAAATTAAATGTGCCCACTATATATATATATATATATATATATATATATATATATATATGTATGTGTGTATATATGTGTATATGTATTTTAAGATAAATGAATGTAACCAGAGAAGGGAGGAAGGGGTTTTCATTCTAAAGAGAGCTGGACAAGCAGCCCTGGCTTCATCTTGTTGTAAATACCCTTGCTAAGATGCTATGAAAGCTTTTGAACTTCACAATTGTAGGCTTGGTGGGAAAGGAATCAGTTCAGGTTGCACCAGTTTAATTTTACTGAACTGGCGCTAATGCAGGGCTTTGAGATCTGTTATTAAGGAGATACCCACTTTCCATTTGAGGCTGCTACTGCAGCTGCCATTTTATGAGGGAAGAGGAGGGGAAGAGGAGAGAGGAAAATTTCAAATAAACATTCCTTTTCACTAAAGGAAAATCACCTTTATCAGGTAAACATTAAAGAGTTCTCTGCATTTCCTGGGTCTGTTTATTTTAAAGAGATACATTTTAATTTTCAGAGTGACTTCATTGCGCAATAAGAAAACAAACCCCTATAGTTTTAGTCCTATCACCCCTCAGGCATTGGTGGGCTGTTTGCCTGCCATTTCAAGGACCAGGAAAATGTCGTCACTGGATGAGCAAGAGAAGCACCACCTGACATTCTACCCAGGGAAAGGCCTGGGCTGTGGCATTTGCTGACCTGAGCCAGGAGAGACAACTTTAAGTCTGGGTAGCCCACAGCTTAAGAAACATTTGCACGGAGGAGACAGCTGCATGCTCACATACTGGATTTAGATTTGGAAATGTTTTGCTCTATGCACTGTCTGAAGCTCTACTGTTGACTTGTACAGACTAAGGAGACTTAGCTCCTGAAATCTCGGCAAGGGAACAGCCCAAGGAGGTGCTGGTCAGAACCTGGTGCTGGCTAAACTCCAGCTGCCCTTGATTTAAGGGTTTCCTATCTATAAGAAAACCCAGTGTCCCCCAGTCAAAAATGCTCCCTTGAAGTCACTTTCGGAGCCCTTGATTTATGTAAGATTATCAGGTGAGGAACCTAATACATGGATGGATGTGGAAATCTAGGGGAAAGGAAAGTAAAAAAAGGTCCTATTTCTTCTGCATTCTGCAGTACTATAGAAATGTTGTAACTTCTGCCCCACTGTCCCCCTAACCCATGGTAAAAATTGTAATTCAAGTATAAAAAAATGCTCTGTTGCAACAATGGGTGTATTTGAAAGTATTGTCCATGTATAAATTTGGTATTGGTATGTTTATACACACACACATAGGTGATAATTGCGCACATTTACTGTTGGTAATAAAGTGTAGGTATATGTGTTTCCTTTTGTAGCTGGGAAAAAGCATAGCTCTGTCTCCAGATAGCTTGGGGAGCTACACATCACACACACTCACCACCTTCTTTCTTACAGTGGCCAGAACCCACCCCCCATCATAGTGCAGACTGAAGCAGGGAACAGCAGCAGAAGATGCCTTTTGTAATTGGCTCCTATCTATACACATCCGAGGGGTGCTGCAACAAGCAAGCAAACAGTTTTGCGCAGAAATTTGCATAAACTTTCAGAGATTCCTTGTGCAAACCCAGGCAGTGCTTTTCTGCCCTGGACTATTTAGTCTGCTTAGAGAGCTCTATAATGCTGAATTAAAGAACCAAGGCTTCCAAGTAATTCAATTTATCTGAACTAACCATGAACACACAGAGGGGTTGGGTGTCAGTGGTGCCTAGAGAAAAATCAGTACAGGAGCTGCCATCTTGTGGGGTTCCACAAAGCTCGGTACATGGCTTACCTCTGCACAGGGGGAAAATATGGCTGCCTTTTCAGTGCAGACTCTTTCCCAGCCTTCCTTCCCCACACTGAAAAGGAGGGTCATAAAGCTCTGCTTTTATTTGGGTAGAGGAAGAGGATAATGAGGGAAATGACAAGTGAGATTTTCTTAAAAAATCTTAAACTCCAACAATCTGTTCAGTTCCATATTTGTAGACTAGTATGAAGAGTTCTGACTTGGGAGGGTCCAACAACTTGCCCCATTTTCTTGTGTATTTAAAAACATTTTATTATTCTTCACTGCACGTGCTTGTCTATCACATCCACTCTTGTGTCCTCTGCTTCTCCGGTACTTGCTGAATCTTCTGGCTTCTGGAGCTAGACAGGGAAGAGGGAACATGTTAATGGACCTGGCTGCTGCTATGGTCCCTCCAGCAAAATTAGAGCATACTGATTTTTTTTTTTCCTGAGAAGAATATGACTTTTGCTGACAGATGGCAGTCCTTTAATCAAAAACACCAAAGGTCATTGAGACTTTTTCAAGGGATAAAAGTGGCCTGGTCCAGAGGATGCTGTGGGTTTCTTAAGTCTGCTCTGCTTGGGTGTGAGGATGTTCATAAAAGAGAACTTACACATAGAAATTCAATGTAAATGTTTATAAACATATTACTGTAAGCCCAAACACAGTGTCCTTGCAAGAATGGAGGGAGGGGCTAGGTCTTTCTGGCAGGTTCTGAAATCTGGTTGTCCATGTCCATGCCCATGCATTAATGTTAGGGGAGTGCTGGGACCAGCCAAGGCCATTTACTTTCAGCGGGGTTCACTGGGGCAGTTTCTGTCAGAAGTGCAAAGGGAATGTGACTCCTGCCTTTAAAGAAAAAGAGTTATTATTTTTTTCAAGGCTGCAATAAGAAGTTGCTTTTTTTCCTGAACGAATGGACCCCCTGTAGTCTTCAATATTGCACTGAGCAGACTTTTCAATAGACAAACATTTGGGAAGCTAGGGAAGAGAAGAGGAACTAGAATTGAATTCCACAGAAATGAGATTTACACTTAGGAGAGATGTAATGCAAGGGTTTCAGAGAGGATCCAGAAAAATTGTTTCACCCTTAACCAGACTGTCCAAGAGGATTGTCTACCTGGATAAAGACCAGGCATTGACAATTCAAACTGTTATGGTTAAGAAGTTGACAAGTGCCTAAAACTACTTCCAGACGTTGAGCTGGTAGGTGACTCTCTTACAGCAGAAACCCCAAGAAATGACCAGCCCCCCCAATTGTGTTGGCTAAAGGTGGGGGTAGAACGCACTTTCTTGGCCTGCAATGTCCAGGTTTTCTGCGCAAGATGTTTGGAGCCGGCTGGCCTGGAGATAAGAGGGGCAAAAATCGAAAGTATTTATCCGCCCTTCCGGAGCCGGCCTTTTTGAGAGCAAAGGGGAGGAGAGAAGAGAGGAGGGGAGTAAGGAGGGAAGGGAGGAGAGAAGCCAAGACCCGCCCCCTCTCCCCCCCCACCCCAGGGAGGGGAGTAGAACGGGGGTGGGGGGGAGGGATGACTACCAGGACCATCTTCCAGTGCCCCTAGGTAATACACTACACTCATTTTCTCTCTAATATAGTGCCCATTTGAGCAGAGGTTTCAAGACAAACCATGGGGAAAAAAGAAAGAAAATAAAGAATTCCTAGAAAAGGTGAGAGAGTCAGGAGCCTTGGAAGCAAGAAAGAATGAGAGAGCAGAGAAAGAGGGGCACAGAGGAAAAGAGAAGAGGGAGAAAGGGAGGGGGAGGAGGAGGAAGAAGAGGTGGAGGAGAAAGAGGGAGGGAGAGAGAGAGAGAGAGAAGAGGGGGAGAAAGAGGAAAAAAACATGGCGCTTGCGAGCTGTATGTGCAAAATCCGCAAGGAATTGCAGTAAATTCCTTTTTGTTTGAAGAAAATTTACAACTTGGTAATAGACCTTTTTATGACCTATTTGCGGTCGTCATTGGCTGCGGCTGGTCATGTGCAGGCGCCGCTTGCCTTCACGGCCTTTTTCCTGATTTCCCAGGCGAATTTCCCCCCGCATTCTGCCTTCCTAGAGCCTCACCCCCTCTTTTTCTAACCTTTGTCTCTGCAGAGGTGGGCTCCAGTCGCCGATTGCGGGGTTCGCGGCGGCCTCGGCTCCCGCCGGGCGCCCAACTTGGCCCCGCCGCTTCGCTGGGGCTGTGTCGCTGCAGCCTCCGGAGCTGGTGGGAAGCCCGGCGGGTGGAGGAGCCCGGAAGGAATCCGGGCGCTCAGGCCCCCACCCGCGCTGACACCGCCCTCCAGGAGCGGCCGGCCTGCTCCGGGTGACCGCAGCCACGCGGTCCCGACGCGTCTCCTTCAACACGAGCGGGTCCCTGCAGCCCAGAGCGCGCGTGGCCGGGCAGAGCCTAATGGATTACGGCAGCCGCCGGGGCCGTCCGCCGCCTCCAGCTCTGCAGCCTCGGGGTAAGAGTCGCTCCCTACTCGCGTCGCAGGCACTGACACGCGGGAGCTCGAGGCGCCCAACCCCGTGGGCATTTCCGTGAGCCCAGCCCGACACCCTACGCTTCCTTGGGATCTGGGGTGATTGCGCCCCTTGATCCGTAATCATTCTCATCTCTGAGCTGGCGCCCCCTGGGACGCTATGGAGTCCCGCTGAACTCATAAAACGGAGGGAAGTCCCATTTCCTCTGGGGATTCCAAGAGGTGGATGGCGGCAGACAGAACCCCAATACTTGGCTGGAGAGCTCCTTAGTCTCCGTCCTGGGAAGAGTGTGTCGGTGGTTGCTGGACGCCTCAGCTTTCTTAGCTGGGGGTCACTAAAGGCACCGTAGTACAGAGCATTATTTTGCCGTTTGTCTGTGGTCAGAGATATCTCATCGGCTAACAGGTGTTATATTGAGGGTCAGGGTTTGGGGTGGAGGTGGGTGGGGTGGGGTGGATTCTGTGCTACCAAGATGTGCTTGATTTGTTATTCAATGCTTTGGTGAATGCTGCTGACAAACTTCTAGGCTGTGTGGTTCATTGGGCCTTGTGTATAAGATGGAATTTTAAATATTTTTACTGTTTCAATAGTTCTTAGTGAATTTTTGCAACAACCTAACCTAAGAAAGATTTCTCTCACCTCTAGTAATCTGTCAGGTGAATTTGGATTATTTTATGTCACAAAATGAATGCAAGTTTTGGGAGGTAATAGTATCAGAAAATCTGGTGCAGGTCTTGAGGGAAAAACCAATAGACATTTCAGAAATGTGAAGCATGTCTAAGTTCAAACATCGCGTGTGTTTCTTATTTGCCAGAGTAGGAAGAGTAGATATTTTGCTTTCTAAATGTATTGTGGTTTTTGCCTAAAAATAAATTTATGTGACATTTCCCCTCCACTTCAAAATTACTGAGCTGACACATTATCTGAGATCAAAGAAAATTGCTGAGAGAAAAAGAATACTATTTCACTCACTGATTTTGAAAGACACTTGAGGGTGCAGTTTTCAAACCCTGCTGCCTATTCCATTATGGACACGTTGTGAAAGATTAAAATCTTTGGACAATCTGCCGCATTGCGCATAAAGCTGACCTGCCCATGGGGTGTATCCTCTCCAACTCACCCAGCGGTAAATCCTGACTTAATGCTTCTCCAAAATACCCAGGGTAACTGTTGGCCCAAAAGCGTTTCTGAATAATAAGTGGCATCTTTGTAGAATGATATTTTTAGTAATTAACGATGGAATCACGCTCCTTTCAAAATGGAGGATCATGATTTGCCGTCAGTTGACGATTGCGGAATTGTGAATCACTAACAATGATTGCTCCCAGCTAAACAAAAACTCTGAATTGTTTTTAAAAACTGGATGTCTGTGTTTTGTAACTATTTCTGTAGTAAGGTACAGTGACTGTGGAGATCATTCTTTCATACTGGTAAAGCATTACCTATTGAAAAGCAAGTTCGTGATGGGGATTTAGGCCCGTCCCTGGCAGCCTGATGAGCCGAGAGTAGCCCCTGAGAATAAGGTTGGAGGGTAGCAGGGAGAATTTTGGCCTTGGTGGACAAACTCTTGTGTTCACAGCTTCAGTGACTTTTCCTTGGGTTGGGCTGTTGTGTGCCCAAAGACTAGGAACCTTGGTGGGCTGCAGGTCCGATTATGCAGCAGAGGGTGAAGTCATGGCAGATATGGAGGACTGAGGGGGCTCTTTGTAAATCCTCTAGCAGAATCTTAGGGAATGAAATGATCAGTTGTATATAAGATAATAATCTGCAACTCATTTGACCTCTTGCTATTAGCCTATGAGGAGACTACTTAAAGCTTTTGGCACTGCCGGAAATGCCCCATTGTCCTTGATAATAATAAAAAGAAAGAAAGAAAAAGAAAGGAAATAAAAAACACAAGGACCCCAAGAACTACAAGCTGGGGAGTGCAACTTCCAGTGCCCTCAGCCTGGACCTCAACCCCTTTGTAGACCAGGGCTCCCATAGCCGGTCAGTGATGCAGGTCAGGCTGAGAGCTGGACATGTGCTTTCTGCAAGAACTAGCAAATAATGAAGTTCACTATTATAAGTGTGGCCAAGCACCAGAAATGAAAACCAAAGGGATTTTCCTATCAAATGCTCCTCAAAATAACTATACTTTTGCCAGAATTCTGTTTTCTGAGCTGGAGAAGCAGGGGAAATCCGAACAAAGACAGTATTTCACTGTGGGCTGGCAGGCAGCTGTTAGAGGTATTTACGGCCTTGCCGCAGTGCGGGCTGCCCGGCAGGGCACGCTGGGGCACCGGAAGCTTGGAAGAAGCCACCAAGAATTAGGAATTCCGATTTAAGTCCAGTTTAGAACTACTTTCCTGGAATTTGTATGGATACTCTCTTTCTAGGAACTGATCTCTTAGATTGATAGCTGGAGAATTGAATGAGGATGATATTGTGGTTTCTAAATATAGGGTGCCCCCCCTTAATTAACGACTCACGAAAAACTATGCACTTGAAGTGAAATTACTGATGCAAATGATAACCTTGAGAGTATGCCTCGGTGACATGGCGATTTTGTTGGTTCAGAGGAATAGAACTTGCAAATCAGAAAGGACGTTTGAGACTTTTTATAGTTTCCTGGGTGAAAAACGTCTCAATGAGAGCTTGAGATGGCGCATCCACGCTCCTCTGCAGGTCGCGCTAAAGCAGTGCGCGATGCTGCAGACGGCACAACACCGCGCCCACTACCCGCACAGCTCTGAGCGGTAGCGCCTGCCACGCACGCCTGCCAATGTCTGGCGCATGTGCAGAGTAAAGGCCCGACCCGCAAAGCCAGGCAGGGGGAGGGGGTAAGTGGACTCAGATGAGAATATACAACCTATAACCCGCGTCTCTCCACCCCTCCCTCCCTTCCCCCTCCCTCCCTCCCTTCCTCAGTCCTTTGCTACTCATCTTTCTTTTATTTCAGTCTGCCATCCAAATATAGCCAGACATCTTTCCTTAGACTACGGTATTTCCAATCATCTTGACTCACCACATTACTTCATCCCAACTTAAATCTGTTTTTTAGAAACAGTTTGCGAATTGGAGCTATTTGTCCAAAAGGAAACCAAATCTTCTTTCAAGGTATTAAAGTAAATACACAGATTATAATACCTTAAAAGAATATATAGATATAAGTGTGTGTGTGAGCCTTGGGAAAGCGTATATAGATTTTGAGATTTTTTCTCAACCCTCTGCTTTGGGAAAAGGCCTTTCCTCTTGGCGCCTGTACAAACCGCCAAACTTCAGGCCAGTCCTTCAGCCTGACCACTCCCGGATCTTGTTACGCCAGCGCAGCACGTTTGAGGGCTCAGTAGTGGCCAGCAGCTCAGCAGAAAGCGGTCAAATAAATAAATAAACGGACAAACCGAAGGTTTTTCCGCCTGGGCTCCCTTAATAAGTGGGAGATGCCCGTTCCTGAGCATCGAGCCTGTTGTCGGTGCGGAGGTGGGGTGGAAGGACCTTTTGGCCGCCCCAGGGGACAGTGCTCCTAGTCTCCGGTGCGGGAAGCACTCAGCCCACGCGAACCCGGGCTGGCGCGGTCACCCAGCTCCGCTGTCTGGCACCATGTCCAGGAGGAGGCGCTGTAGGACAAGCGTCTCGCCGGCTGTGGCGGCACGGGTGATGCCCCGGGCGTGAGCGGGCGGGGGAGGGGAGGGCACAGGAACCCTCCTCTCTCACGCAACCCGCCACCGCCGCTTCCGAAGAGCTTTGGGTCCCCGGAGGTTCGGTGATGCTGCGAACACTCCCAGAACTCCGCTTCATCAGTACAGCAGCTGCAGCTGCCTCTGGCCGGGAGCTTGAAGGCGGGTTCCGGGTGGCAGGCCACTTCAGTTCCTCCGCCTTCCCGGAGGGGGCGCGATTTCTGCGCGCAGGGCTCCTAGGGTCTAGAAACTAGGGTGCCCTGATAGGATATGCTCTCCCTTGTCCTCGGGTCCTAACCAGTTTCCTCAGAATGAACTGCTCTTCTGGCCGCTTTCCCTTCCTGCGATTCCTGCTACCCAGAATGGCAGCCTTGAAAAGCAGAGAGTCCAGTGGCTTTTCCGGCAGGCTGATGGGCCTCACCCTAGTTCTTCTAGAACAAGGCCAGGGTCCCAGGACTCTCCTAGGGGTTCTTAAAGTCTCTGAGAGTCAGGAAAAATCCCACTGATTTTGAAGATTAAGGACTCCCTAAATACACGTCTCTGCCTTTTCTAGGTCACTCATACCACACATCTTCTCTCACCATTGCACCCATTTTTGGGTGTGTCTTGCACCAGCAGTGACACCCAACTTCAACAACTGGCTCATCAGACCCCACTGAACATTGTTTCCTGGCAATATATTCTTTTTTTCTACTTTGGAGCAATGGTTCTTAATGAATGCCTGCATTTCAATGTTTATAATGCAGGTTTCTGCTTCCCAGCCAGATTTACTGAATCAGAATGTGCAGGACCTGCCTTTTGGAAATGCTCTCCCTCAGGTCAATTAGGATGCTTGCCACAAGAGTCTCTCCTGCTTCTTCTATGGGTTTTCCTTCCCCAAGGCCAAGTTCCTTCTCCAGCTCAGCAATTCCTGGAGCTCCCTCCGTAACTGGATTTTCTAATGTCATTGCCCCAAAGACTGAGTAAATTGCTTCCACTTTAGGAAGGGGACATTGATCACTTGCTAACTTAGAGATTAGAAATGAGTAGATTCTGAGTTCAGAATGCCTCAAATCTTTACCACTTAGCTGCTGTGTGATGTTAAGCAAGTAAGCAAACTCTCTGGGCCTATTTCCTCATTTGAAAAGTATGGAGAAGACCATCTTCAAGGAATGTTATGAGTATTTTTACCTACATAGCTACAAGTGCCAAGCACTATTCTAACTTACATATATTAACTACTGATTAAGTACTTAAAACTAATTTTGTCATATAACAAGGGTTCAAGACATGTTCTATGTAATCAGTCTATTTGACACAGCAACCAGGCCTATACTTTTAGAGCTGAAAGAGACATGATTCATGTGTCCAGTCATTGAATCCTACAGCAAAGCTGCAGGAGAACATAGTTCTGTGATCCTTCCTATTGCTCTAATGCGTCCTATTGCTACAGTGT